TCAATAGAAAATAACTAATGATATTCGATGACATTTCTCTTCATATTGCAGTCTTTAGTTCCGAACTCTCATGATATGGAATAAAAATACTCATATAGTAATAGTTACTATATAATTAATTTAATAATGGTTATAATGTATGCAGTTTCATAGGATTTGGGTTTGAATATATCAATAAAATAATAAAATAAAATGACTAACATCCAGAATAAATGTATTATTTTGTCCTGCTTGTTTAAAACACATCATCATCCTCAGCCTTTAACAGTCCACTGCTGGACATAAGCCTCTCCTTAGAAAGGAGGGTTTGGCCTACTATACCATGCATAAAACACATATGTTTTGATAATAAATAACAAGTGACAGCTGAAATACTTTTAAGATTAATATAAATAAAATGTACGGAGTCTATATGGTGCTGTTTTGCGGTGAGTACTTGACCGGCGTGGTGCCAGCGTGACGCGGGACAGACGCGTGCAATTACACCGCGCGGTAAAGTCCCATGATCGATCATCAAATAATTTTGCCAAATAACTTTATTTTATACAAATTCGTCATCTAACTTCAATAAGATTACAGAGTTTGATGTTTTACAAAATTGTTTAATAAAACTTGTATTTAAACTTTCTGCTTAGCAACGTGGGTTCTCCCCGTTATTGTCATAAAATAAAACAATATGCGATTCTATCCAAATCGTTGTTATAGGAGAATAGATGGCTAGATAACAGTCTTTAAAGAAATTATGAGACTAAATCAGGAATTGTGGTTATCAAAACCAATTGTATATTTTTTAAAGCATTGGAGCTTTTAAAATAATCACCAGTATGTGCAAAGAAACCTCACACTCGTTTCAATCTGTCGGTAAACGCATTACGTTGCACACGGATCTAATCTAGGCGCATCTGCACATTCTGATTGTACGCCATAAGGTGCCGGCCTCATCTGCGCTAATCCATTAGCTACCTCGGTCCATATTTAATTGTAAACCCTCCCTGCTACGTCACAGCGCGATTGTCCACCGCGCACATGTCGCGGCCCCAACAACGTATAAAATTTGATAAATCGCACCGTCAACATGTGAACTACCCTCTTAGCTTAAACGATCCGTGTTCTGTAACCATCAACTGCTGAATATTAAAATTTCAAACGTGTGTTTATACCGTTAAGTTCTTTTTCGTCTGTCGAGCGAGAAGTACAAGTTATCATCGTTTGGGCACGCATATTTGCACCCAATTTTATAATTTATATTCTACATCCAACAGATAAGGTTGAATTTAGCTTAAATTCTTAAGATAATTGCAAGGTTTGACGGGTGGAATGGCAAATGCACTTTAGTGAATGCTCGTGCAGTAACTGATTTTGTGAGGGACGTACGCGTAGGTAAGATAATGCAGATGTTTCGAGGGACGAAGGTGCCCCCTTCGAGGGCCTTCCATTGATGACAGAAGCAATTTCCAGCGACGGTTTCGATTAATATAAATGTGATACATTACCTTGCTACGGTAGTGCTTAATGTGCTGCAGAGAAATGAAATATTACAGAAATCATTTTTACAAATGTATAGTCACTGAGGGTTTTATGCTTTCAAATATACCAATATCGAGCTGAAAATTAAAACCAAAACAATAATGTAAAACCTCTCTCGCTTCCGCAGTAGACTACAAATTGAATTACCACAAAATTCCGCTTCTGTCTATAAAAATTGAATTTGTAAACTTGGAGTATTCTCGTTTGGGATGAATAAAAACGATCCATCAATTCCGAATTGCACGGCTAAACTTTTACCGTGCGAATCGATACTAAATTAGCTAATGGAAACTTGATAGCATGTAAAAAACTGAATCCCGGTAAACCCCCATAAGCGCATTTCGCAACAATAAATCTCTGCATTGTCCCATTCGACGACAGATGGCGTCGTAGAGCCCTCTCTCTACAGGTAACTTTATACTCTCAGTTGAACAAATAAAGCTCAAAGCGCTTGAGACAGAATGTTGTTAATATCTATCTGTGTTTTGGTTAAGCGATGTAAACGCTTAGGTATCAGGTAACAGCATTAGACACGAACAATAGAATATTCAATTATGTTAATGCGAAGTACAGTATGTAGCATGTGTTCGATTGTGCGCACGCGTCGCGTCGGCCATTTTTGTGTGGATTACGTCACGCATTTGAATCGTAACGGTAGGATTATTAGTGCAGAGCAATTTAAATGTGTGTGGCGATGAATTTTGAATTAATGCGTCCGGTTTGATAATTCTGGCTGTGACTATTGCACTTAATGCCTCAATAACGGGCATCATGGCGGTATCAATGATTAATTAATTTATTAGTTCCTGGTTTAGATGCCTCAAGAACTCAGACAAGTGCTATTCTAAGTCAAGTAAAACTTCATACGCTACTGTACATAATGAAAGCGTTGAGCGTTTAAACAGTGAAACTTAGCATAATTACTTTCATTGACCAATTAATCGTTCTAGAGGATTTTAATAATAATAACGGACTTCGTTATGCAATTATTTAAGAGATACAAAATTTAATCAGAAAACACTAAAACATGCTCGAGTTGTAAACAGAAATTTAGGTAATAATTGTATATACAATTTAATCAACCGACTGACCTGTTAATGTAGTATTCTACTGAATGTAAATCGCACTGTAGCATGTTCGCTTGTAATGTTTTCTTGTTTAAATATTTAATGAACCTCTTACAATTTTATTCACACAAACGGAATTAATAATATAATTAAAGGCCTTTTAGCTGATACATATATTTGTAACTAGGCCACGGCTTAGCTCGAGTGATTGTTTCTAATTTTGGAAGTGCCGAACTTTCATACAACCGTTAATCCCTTATTTAACCCTTTTAAGGATTAAATAAAAAAAGAATCTTAGTTTCTACATAATAAAATACAAGCATTAGTTGCTAAAAAAATTCAAAACATGTATGATCTGCTTAAATGAGTTGGTCAGTCAGGGCAAGTAATTGTACCCAAAAGATAAGCTTTTGACAAACTTCTAGATTCTTTCTTAGTGCTGACTCATGTTTACTATGCACTGGACGTACAAATGTATATAAAACATGACCAAGAAGTCAATATGAAAGAGTTGATAAATTCTTAATCAGGTCTTTCAGAACAAAATCTTGTCACTTAGTTTGAATTCATTCTGTATAACTATGTGTACATGCTATCTGTATAAATTCTACTGCCTCAGTGACGTCAGATGGGGCGCAACCAATGATATTTTAAAGAAGATACGTAATATTCATACTGTGCGCACAAAATATTTGTTGTGTAACCGTACAAACATAAATTAACGCATTTTTGAACAAAACATACACTTGTTCTATGATACTCCTTTTTTTTACCTTTTTGTCGTGATTTGTGCTCTTTCCAAAGACACAGGAAGGCATTTCATGAATTTGCTCGAATTAATTAGTACGTATTTATTACAATTACTCGCTCGCAGTGGTCCTAATTAGGACCCTCGCGTTTTGTTTGTATATAATATCATTGGACGCAACTGTTACAAATTTTACAACTATCAAATCTAACAACACATAATTTTAATGAAACCACACATCTAATTATCAAGAACAATTCGTTAAAAGTGCGAGATCAAATTTCAATTAAAACTTTACATATTAAGCGTGAGCTCCGCCAGGAGACGGTGAGGGTAGGTGCCCATAAAAATATGCCGCGAGGGAGTCTAATGACACTTAAGTTTTAACTCCAGGATTACATGGTGTGGATTTGAGGAATAATGGCAATGAATTGTTGCCAGACAATAACTAGGATGTTTATGAATTACATTGTGATGTCGCCGTTGGGAATTTGTAACGGACTTAAAATTAAGTAGAAATTTTGACGTCAAATAACTCGAGATTACTTGAGTTACAAATATATCTTAAGTAAATATTAGATACGATATTATCGACATTGCTGATTAAATTCTCGAGCGCAACGTAATTGCAGTCGTTTTTTTTGACTGAGCGCCGTGCCAATATGGCAAATTTACATATGTGATAAGGATAAAAAACCAATTGTATAGAATATATTAAATATCTTTGTCTTATATCACGTGAAATGCTTATGTAGTGTGGTATGTTCACAATCAGTAATAAATTAAAGACAAAAGGTAAAGACTTTCCCAATGTTTTAATGATTGAATGTAAACACTGGTAATAAAGCTAAAGAGTTTGTTTGGTTGAACGCGCCAATCTCAGAAACTACTGTTTTCGATTTTTAACTTAGACGTAAATATTGTTTCTATCGAAAATAAATCACAAACTCACTAGTAAATGCCTTCATCATCAACCTCTCGCAGTCCACCGCTGGACATAGGCCTCTACCATTGCAAATGCCAGATGCCAAACAGATGCTAGAAATATCCTTATCATCAATATTAAAATCACGAATATCTTTAATCGGTCGGTTTTATGATCTCTATCGTAATAAAAGTTAAATATATATAAGAGATTTCTTTCCAATACTAGTCTATAATTGTCAAGTGATAATTATGCCAGTCACTGCGACTCATTTAGCGGGCAAGTGAGGAGTAATATATACGTGCCTCAGGCTAGCGGTCACAGATTATATTTTTATTGACTCAGGAGATAATTGTAGCACCTCATTGAGACTGAGTGAGGAGAATACAAGTTATAGAGTAATAGTTAAAGAATAGAACTACTAAGATTTTAGTATTAAAGGAAGGTTATATTTTAGAGTCGATAGGTTGACTCAGTTAATAACATTAAGCGCTATTTTTTAGAAAAATACAGTGATTTTTAAAACAGAAATCTTATTGTTAAAGAGACCATGAAATTATTGGTATTTGATTGCCACATTTGCATAAAGTGTCTGAAGAAAAAATAGGCCTCTCCTTAGAAAGGAGATTTTGGCCTACTATCGTTCGTTATCGTTAACAATAACAAATGATTACTCCAAAATAAAAATAAAATAAGATTTTCTCATTGAATAAACTCCTAAAATAGATGCACAATGTTTAATTCCATTATTTATTTTCCTAGGATACCAAGGTATTTGTTACTTACAGAGTGGTCCGTAGAATTTCAAAAAATTATCTTATGTTTAAAAGTTTTTTCTTTTCTGTCTTTGAACTTCGTTTATCACGTCTATAATCAAAATGGTTAATATAAATCAGACTTCCCAAGTCTAAATATACGTTAGCGTAAACTGCATCCTAATACACGGTCAATCCACATCTAACTGGATATAAAATGCTCTCTACGAACGTGCGGTGTCCACTCGGCACGAGTCGAGTGCTCTAGTACTGCACCACTGTCCCCGGCGCAAAACTAGTGACGCGATGACCTGACGTACTACGCGGACTACAATGTATGGAGACTTCCTTACACCTAAATATTTTTATAAACAAACATTGCCACAAACATGGCATAACAGGGCCTCAATTCTGCTATTTTAATACTATATCAATATACTGTCGATGGAATGTCGTCGGAATAGTTTTGCACTTTTCCTATTCTACTAACTATGTAAGACCAATGGGCTCCCGATGACTTGTCACTGATACAAATGTCGTCGATGTCTTTGTTTGGTAAACGGTACATTTTAAATTTGTGAGAAAATGATTTATTTAATTTTCCAGGTATGGCAATATTGTTGATATATCCATTGTTGACTTATATTAATATATTGACAGTCTATTGACACTGTGTAATCATGTTAGTAGAATACTCATATTTTGACCGATGTCAATGGCGTCTCAGTGACATGTCAATAGCGTGTCAATGGAATGACAGTGGCTTGGCGTTAACATAAAATAGCAGAATTGTGACCCAGGAAATGTACAAGATCCGGAATACTTTTAATAAAATTTCGTGATATTAGGTAGTCCTATTTATTTTAATAAGCTCTAATTATTGTAACTCCTTAGGAGGGTATTGGTATTGGTGTTGGTTGTGGGATTCAGTTTCCGCATTTAGACTCAAGAGTGGTCCTTTTATGCATCCTTAGGAGGGTATATATTATCATAACATTGTTTTATTTTTAATGTATAATAATTTCTTGAGTGATGACTGTAGTGTGCTAATAACTAACGGGTGTTTAATCAATAGTATCATCCATACTTATAATATAAATGTGAAAGTGAGTTTATTTGTTTGTTTGTTACGCTTTCACGCCTAAGCCACTAAACCGATTTTAAAACTTCTTTCACCAATGGAAAGCTGTATTATCAGTAAGTAACATAGACTCCTTTTTAACGCGACAATCAACATCCACGCAGGAGGAGCCGTGGACAAAAGCTAGTACATCATAATTATTGCACTGCTTATACCGATTGCGCAAATCTGTAGCTAAATACTTATATCATAAAGACGAAGAGTTTTTTTCTTTTGTAAATTTATTCAACCATAATAACCGATGAAACTATCCATCAGATTTCAATTATTACTTATATATATATTTTTCTTTTAAATAGACAACTCCCGCATTAGGGATACATTCCTGTGTTGCGGGGGACTTTACAAACATACATGAAACGGACACAAAGAACACCCAGACTCAGAACAACAATTTGTGGATCACACAAAGTGTCGTCCCATGTGGGGTTTGTACCCATAACACTCGGCGCAGTAGGAAGCGGCGTGGCGACCGCTTAAACCATTACGCCATCCGTGCAGTCATTTTATAGACTATTTCTAGAGGATTATTATTAGGCTGAGAAACATTGTGCTTTATCCCACAGAAGCAGAACAATGACCCATAGAAGTCTCATAGAGGCCGAGCAGTGACACAATACAGACAAAACCACGTAGAACGGGTCATCATCATCAACAGCCTTTAAAAGTCTACTGCGAGACATAGGTCTTTTCTTAGAAAGGAGGTTTTGGCCGCTGTGTCAGACGGGTTGATATAGGGTATCCCAGGAGCTGGCGGACCTCCGTGCGGCCTGTACACGTGCCCGGAGGTCCTACACGCGCAGTCGGCGGCGTCACCGTGGAGACGGTGAGGAGGACCGGCTTCATGAGGAGTACCGACGGGCGCGGAAAACTCTGAAGCTGGCCATTAGCCGCGCCAAAGAAGAAAAAAGACAGGAGATGCTGGAGGGTCTTAATCGTGACCCCTGGGGTCGCCCTTACCGCGCGGTGCGACAAAAGCTCCGCGCGTCGGGCCCCCCCCCTTACGGAGACTCTCCAGCCCAGCTTCCTGCGAGAAGTGGTTGAGGGCCTTTTCCCACAACGGGCGGAACACACTCCCCCGTCGATGGCCTCCTTGGCCGGAGACGACGGGGAGCACGGGGAGGATAATGTTCGGCCCGTCCGGGAATCGGAGGTAGGGGCGGCTGTTCTACGGATCCGTTCCAAGAACACCGCCCCTGGGCCAGACGGGGTACCGGCCCGAGTGCTGGCCCTGGCCCTCAACCACATGGCAGACCGCCTCGGGGAGGTGTTCGACGCTAGCTTGGCGTCGGGACGCTTCCCTGAGTGCTGGAAGAGCGGGAAGCTGGTCCTATTGAGGAAGCCGGGACGGCCTGCCGATTCGGTCGCGGCCTATAGGCCCATCGTGCTGCTGGACGAGGCGGGCAAATTGTTTGAGAGGGTTCTTTCTGCCCGCATCGTCCGGCACCTCTGCGAGGTGGGCCCCGATCTGTCGGACGCCCAATTTGGTTTTCGGGCGGGGCGTTCGACGGTCGACGCCGTGTTGCGCCTGAGGGCCGTGACCGAAGAGGCCGTGAGCTGTGGCGGCGTGCTGTTGGCGGTGTCACTGGACATCGCCAACGCATTCAATAGTCTGCCATTCAGCTGCATCAGGGAAGCACTCCACTATCATGGGGTGCCAAAGTACCTGAGGCGGCTGGTGGCAGACTATTTAGAGGAGCGTACCGTCGTGTACGAGGACCGAGAAGGTAATCTGAGGTGTCGGCCCATGTCGTGCGGTGTTCCACAGGGGTCTGTTCTTGGACCCCTCTTGTGGAACATAGGGTACGACTGGGCCCTTCGCGCCGATTTCCCCCCCGGGCTGGGTGTAATCTGTTACGCAAACGATACCCTCGTGACAGCCCGGGGGGCAAACTTCCAAGAGGCGGCGCGCCTGGCCACAGGGGGAGTCTCCCTGGTGGTCGGGCGCATTGAGGCGCTGGGCTTACGGGTGGCCCTAGATAAGACGGAGGCCCTGTTATTCCATGGGCCCCGTCGTGGTCCACCCCCTGGCGCCTCCATCGTGGTCAACTCGGTCCTCGTACCGGTTCGGGCCCAGATGAAATATCTGGGCCTGATCCTCGACGGGAGGTGGCTCTTCGACGAGCACTTCCGACAGCTTGCTCCAAAGCTGGTCGGCGCTGCGTCTGCCCTAGGGCGACTCTTGCCCAATATGGGTGGACCCAGCGTCGCGACAAGACGGCTGTACACGGGGGTTGTCCGGTCAATGGCACTGTACGGTGCACCGGTGTGGGCGGCGGCTCTGACCGCCCAGAATAGGGTCCGCCTCTGGCGCCCTCAGAGGGTAATGGCGGTCAGAGCCATACGCGGTTACCGCACCGTTTCGACGGAGGTGGCATGCGCATTGGCCGGAACTCCCCCGTGGGATTTGGAGGCGGAAGTGCTCGCCGAAGTTTATCGGCGAGTGGCTGACTTCCGGGCGGAGAGCGGATTTCGCCCTCCGCCCGAGGATGTGCGCGAGTGGCGCGAAGCCGCTCGCCGAGCCACGATGGCTCGTTGGTCGTTCCGGCTGGAGACTCCACGCGCTGGCTTCGCCGCCGTGGAGGCTCTCCAGCCGGTCATCGCCGAGTGGGCAGGGCGGCAGCACGGGACCCTTTCCTTCCGACTGACGCAGGTGCTTTCCGGGCACGGTTGCTTCGGAAAGTACCTGCACACGGTCGCTAGGAGGGAACTGAGTCCCGCCTGCCACCACTGCGACTGCAGTGAGGACTCGGCCCAGCACACGCTGGCGGTCTGCCCCGCATGGGCGGCGCAGCGCCGGGCCCTCACTGCAGTCATCGGAGTGGATCTCTCGCTACAGGCCGTAGTACGCTCCATGGCCGGTAGCGACAGTTGTTTTACCGCGGTCGCAACCTTCTGCGAGGTAGTAATCTCGCGGAAGGAGGCGGCGGAGAGGGCCCGGGAGGACGACCTCCACTCGGACCCGATCCGCCGCCGGCGAACCGGGCGGCGGAGGCCCGCCTACCACAGCCTCATGCCGCCCTGAGTGTGGCCGCGGGTGGACGGGTTGGTTTTCCCCTCCACCCGCATTAGTTGGCCAGCCGCGAGGGGGCGGCGTCCGCGTGTGCCGGACGTCGCCTAAAGAGAGGAACATCTACAATGAGACGGAGCCCGCACCAGGAGCGGGCTGGCGCTAGGAGGGGTCCGGATGTCTTAACAACAGCTGTTCCCGGATCCCTCCTGTTACAGGCGCAGAGTGGCACACCGTGTGGTTTTAGTCGGTCCGAGTCCGACACACCACCCCGCCGCAAACCCCGGAGGGGTGACGGTCCGAGGGGATTTCCACACGTTAAAAAAAAAAAAAAAAAAAAAAAAGGGTATGTGTCAAGTTTTCCTTCTATTTACAGTGCTGTTGTCCTGCTAGTTTGCTCTCTTAGTCGGCTTTTATGACACCCATGGGATGAATAGGGGTGGTGACACTCTGAATTCTTAATCCGTCACCACACGGAACAGATAGAATGGGTACTATATGATACAAATATTCGTAGGTAACTTATTAATGGTTATGAATTCACTTGTTAAGTAGAATCTAAGTAGAAAAATACCCGTTCCTTTAGTACTATATTTAATATCTGTGTAGCAAAAATTCTCTAATCTTGCATATCGACTCTACGTATGGCCGAGCGGTGCATTGCGCTCGCGACCGCACCTTGTCAGCTCGCAAATTGACGTGGATTGTTGTCGGCGGATCTTTGTCACGCGGCGCGTAATCAACGAGACCCACCCGTGGACACCAATATATTGAATACCTAGAAGAGCTGCGTTCCTTAATGCAACCGTTGATAATATATCTATCTCAATGCCAATTTTACAATCTGATGGACAACAATAGTGCTCCCATTACGAAAATAGGATCAAAATTATAGCTGCTAATCTATGAGCGTTAAGTACACTTCTATGTACCTCTTGGAGATGTGAACTTGCACCTGTTAGACAAGAAACCATATCTTGAAGATTACTGTTCTTTTAAAAGTTTAATATCATACAGAAATCAGGTTCCAGATTTATGTATATATGTCAGGCATATATAACTGTCCGGCATATTGTTAACCAGCTGTAAATAAAGAGAGATGAGGCTAGATATCACCAAAAACCACTAACAATTTTTTGAAGTGATAACTTCGTACGGGAGGGTAAACCGCTTCGTTACGTAACGCGTTACGGCGCCAGTCTGTCTGACTTAATTTTCTCTCACGCACACGGCAGCGGTAGGCACGATCCTCCTCTCTCACTCTAACCCACAGCGCTAGCCGTATTTCAGACAGGCGCTTTATATAAAATTTAAATAATAACCTAAACTTTTCTCAAGTTAAACAATTTCAATATTTAATAGTTAGAGCCATGCTTCGACATATTATTTCATTTCTTTTACCTAGTGAGCACCAGAGAATACCGCAATCCCAACTGTCCCTCCTCTCTAATGTTTCTGGAGTGGCAGGAATCCATGGGCAGCGTAAACCACTTACCGCCAGGTGCCTCGATTGCTAGTTAACCCTATACCATAAGAAAAAATAAAATAAATATCGCATCCAGTCGTTTGTGATCAATGGCACAATATTTAACGGCACAAGCGGTTCGCACCGCATGCAGTTCGATCTATGCCTAATCTCTAATTATGACCGCCATTCATTTGTCACCGACAATGTTTAGTGATATTAGTGTCACCTACGCGCTAATTCCATTTTAATAATAGATTTCAAAATTTATTTTGATGGTTCACAATTTCACACAGAGTACTTCAGGTTATCCGTGTGATGACGGATTAAGAATACCACCCCTATTCATCCCGTAGGTGTCGTAAGAGCCGACTAAGGGAGCAAACAACGCAAGACAACAACACTGCAAAGAGAAGGAAAACTTGAAACAAACCCTATACCAACCCGTCTGGCCAGCGTGGTATAGTAGGCCAAAACCTCCCTTCTAAGGAGAGGCCTATGTCTAACAGTGGACTATTAAAGGCTGAAGATGTGATGTGATGTGACTTCAGGTTTGCATCCAATCTCTATCTAAAGTGTAGTTTAACTCAAGAATTGTACCTAGAATCTAACGAACACAATGAAAACAAGTGTTATTTTATGCTACTAATAATAATAACCTACACGAAAAAAATCTAAACGAAAGTATTTCATTGAGCTATTAAGCGTAGACACGACTGGACAGAATAAAGTATTATATTCTATATAATAATAATATTATTTCATTTTCATCTAAAACATATTCTTATTCTCCAAAGATGCTCATGAAGGAATAATAATAATACCCTCACACATCTCACACACGGCCGTCTGATCCCAAACTAGGCAGAGCCTGTGCTATGGTAACCAGACTATTGATAAACATACTTATATATTTTTAAATAGATACATATTTTAGATAAATTACACCCAGACACAGAACAAATGATCGTGCTCATCACATAAATATTTGTCCTGGGTGGGAATCGAACCCACGACCTCCGGTTTAGCAGTCAGGGTCACTAACTACTAGACCAACAGGCCCGTCAAGAAAGATTTCAACACAATCGTTCAACGCAATTCTCTGTTCTCATATGGTTAGTGTATGCCTTAATAGCTAATTAAACACACTTAAATACCAAATTTTCACAAGAATATTACCTTAGTGTAAAAAACACCAGTGTCTCACTCCACACAAAGGCAGTCGACTAACAAGGCACCGCGGGTAATGTCGATGTGGGTACCTACGTACCTACGTACCACAGCGGGGAGGTGATAATTGCTTTCTTCAAACATGCCTCTTACATTCAGGGGTGCCACCTTTTGTGATGGAGATGAAACCTATTATCTCGTTTACTTGCGGGTAGCCGTAATTGAATTGACTGGAATTGGGAACAAGCTTTTTGGGCAGGTGTAATGTTTTCTACGGTGTTCCTGAGATTTGATGCTTTTAAGTATATTTAGAAAAGGTAAATTTCGATTTTTGATGATGCAAGCGAGATGCAACTTATAGTATTTTGGTATCTATATAATAAACAAAGTTTTAATTAGATACAACAACTAGGTATATTTCAAATGTAACTAAGATTTCTTTACATTTTTTATTAGTTAACTGAAGAATGTATAATTTTCTTCCACGTAGACACACAATGTATACTCTGCAATGTAGTTTCTAATACAAACAATTTAAAGAAACGTCAAAGTTTAGAAAAATAATATCGTTGAGTTTAGAATCGAGCTTGTGATCTTGGACTGGATCCCTAATTAATTAAGAAAACCATTTTACGTTAGAAGGTAGGAAGTGAATTGAGTATTGTACCAATGAGTGTGGTTTAATAAACACTGTCTAATCCTACTAAATCCTAAATAAGAAGAGACCTCCGAAGCTCTGGTCAATTTAATATAATCATGAACATGATCCTGTCTAAAGCGGAGACGTTGGAGAATTCAACAAACGATCAACAGATCCATTCGACGATACACAAGCAATAATCCGTTTACTTTTATATCTCAACCCCTTGTGCAATTGACAAATTAATTATTGCGTCCAACTCCACCCTTATTTTATTTAACATAGAGTTCAAACTTACCCAAATAAATTTTGCAGCAGGTTTGGAAGGAGTGTCCGTCAAAGAGGTTATTACCTGAAGGACATAAAGCGAGTTGGTCCGAAGCAAAGAGGTCGGAGGAGGGCCCCGGGCGAATAAAATGCAAATACTGTGTAGTGTACAGTGCCTT